TCCATGCCTAAGGCAGGACTAGAACTCCCAGTCTCCTGGTGATTGGCTGAAGTCACCCAATTCTTTCACGCCTATGGCAGGACTAGAACTCACCATCTCCTGGTCATTGGCCCAAAGTCACCCAGTTCTTCCATGCCTAAGGCAGGACTAGAACTCCCAGTCTCCTGGTGATTGGCTGAAGTCACCCAGTTCTTCCATACCTAAGGCAGGACTAGAACTCCCCGTCTCCTGGTGATTGACCCAAAGTCACCCAATTCTTTCATGCCTAAAGTAGGACTAGAACTCACCATTTCCTGATCATTGACCCATAGCCACCCAGCCAACTTTCGTGCCTAAGACGGGACTAGAACTCACCGTCTCCTGTTTTCTACCTCGTGCCTTCACCACTAGACCAAACTGGCTCTATAAAAATATTCCATTGCATCGTATTGTATTTTTTAATTTATTTGGGGAGGGGGGGGTTGAACTAAAAGAACCCCAAGATCCTTTCCAACTTTATGATTGTACTTATCTGGAGATACTGTAAATCAGGACTCTTAACACTTCTGGGCTAATCTTGTGTGTGTGTGTGTGTGTGTGTTGTGTGTGTGTGTGTGTTGTTTTGTCTTTTCCAGGGTACCACTATATTTGCCTGCGCAGCGAAAGCAACCAGCCCCTCTGCCTCCCAGCCTTGTTGGTTTACACGGAAGCTTGCGACTATATCCCCGATGATCATCAAAGTAATGGCTTGTGGGGAAAAGGGGGTGGGGCCTTCCTGGGGAGGGGGTGGAGCCCCCCCATCGGCCCTGCCAGGTAGACCAAACCAGCCAACCCAAAAACCACACCGGTAGTATTGGATTTGCTTGATTAGGGACCGTTCAAAGTTACGACGTCACTTTAAAAAAAGTGAATTATTTATAGCCGTTCTTCGCACTTACGACCATTTGGAGCATCCTCCATGGTCACATGATCCAAATTCAGATGCTTGTCAACTGACTCCTATTTATGACGGTCGCCGGGTGATCCGCTTTTGTGACCTTCTGGCGAGTGAAGAAGCCAGAGTCCCTTAAAACAACCGTGCTACTAACTTAATGACGGCACTTAACAGCAAAGAAAGGATGGTAAAATGGAGCGAAAGTGCACTTAACCAATTATCCCCCTTAGCGACTGAAATGTGGGGCTCAGTTGTGGTCATTAAGTCGAGGACTCCCTGTATTGCAGTCCTTAAGCGCGTTATTCTTTGCAAATAAATTCCGGCTTCTGATAGGGACGATGAATGGAAACACAAGCAAATAGGATAGCAACTGTGGCGATTCACTTAACAACAGTGGCAAGAGAGGTCGTAAAACAGGGCAAAACCTCTCTGAACAACTGCCTCACTTAGCAACGGTCTCACACGGCTGTGTGGGTGTGCAACAGAGAAAGCAAGGATCTGAAGATTTTTAACCAGATTCTCCAGCAACCCATGTCTAAACTTTTTCTAATCCTTGTCTAATCGTTGTCTAATCTTTTTCTAATCCTTGTCTAATTCTTGTCTAATCTTTTCCTAATCCTTGTCTAATGTTTTTCTAATCCTTGTCTAAACCTTGTCTAACCCTTGTCTAATATTTTTGTAATCCTCGTCTAATCCTTGTCTAATCCCAATCCCTGTTTTTTTTATTAAGGAACCCAGTGGGTCTTAAGGTCTCTCTTTCTTCCCTCCTCAGATTACGCCGAGGCTTTAATTAACCCAATTAAGCACGTCAGCTTAATGGACCAGCGAGCCAAGCAGCTGGCCACCCTAATGGGAGAGAGCGAGGTGAGGATTCCTAGACGGGACGTGTGACGAGACGGACAGGTTTGGGAGGGTGGAAATCCGCGGGAGATCCTCACACTACGTCGAACAGGGGGAACTTTTTTGGACGGGACGGTCCCGGCAGGCGTCGCAGAGCTGCTTGGCGTCCCGGGGAGGGAGGGAAATCTGAGAGAGAGACACACACACACCCCAACTTTACTTCCCTGTATCCCCCCCCCCCCCGGTTGGGCAGGAGAACGTGGAGAAGCCGAAGGAATCTCTGTTGAGGAGCCCCTCTTGCCACACTATGGGGCCGTCCCGGGAGGTCCAGAAGCCCCTCCCGGATGTGTTACCCCCAACTCGGACCCCCAGCATCGTCCCCAGTCAAGGTACAGACCGGAACAAAAGAAACCCGAGTTGAGACATTTCCTTGCCCCATAAAATTCCGGTTGGCTGCTGGAATTGGGAGGGTTTGGGTCTTTTTGCCCAACATTTGGGTGTTTCTTTTTTTTTTTTTTTGAAGAGTGCCCCCTCCCCGTTTGTTGCCCAACCCCGAATGTTGAGATCAGATTTTAAAAGGCTCTAAAAGTCCATTTTTCCTCCTCTTTTAGGGCAGAGGGATGACTTGATCGCCAGCATCTTGGCAGGTAAGAATGAGAGTATTATGCCAGCCCCTTCAACACCAAGGGACACCTGTTGACAGGTGTGAGAAGTTACGGCTGACGGCCGGTCCTCGCATTTATGACCGTTGCAGCCTTCCGCCACTGATCCTGGGATTGTTCAGATCGACGCCCTTTTCCAACAAATCAAACACAATCCAAAAGGAACAGAAACCTCGTAATATTTTTACAAAATAATTAGCTGTGATAAGCACAAGCCTTGCCAAACTATGTGAGACTTGCCAAAAGATAACAGACAAGAAATAATTTGCAAAATAAGAATCTTCAAATACAAACTCAGGATACTGGAATGTCCGTGAGGCTGGAGTTTCAAAACGTCTTTGCCTTCTGCAAAGGGCGTTCGTTTCACAGCTGGCTTTTATCTTCTTGAAGGAGGGGCCGTTACCTTGGAGCCTTACTCCCGAGTCGGCTGTCCTGTTGTAGCTGCTCTTTCCTACAAGCAATCCTGCATGCACGCGCACTTGGCACAGGCTCCTCAGGAACCTCCTCATCGCTGCTGCCAGCCCCCACAATCTCTGAAGGCAGCAGTCCCCTCCCCGATGGTCCTGGCCCCTCACCTGAGTCCTCGCTCTCCTCAGCCATCCACACCTGCTGCCGGCTAACCACAACAGTGATTCAAAAATTCAGACACTTTGCAACCGGCATATCTTCGCAACGGTTGCAGCTTCTGACGGTCGCGTGACCGTCCTTCCCAGCAAGGTTATAGGGGCAAGCCAGGTTCACTTAATGACATGACTCACTTAACAATGGCAGCAGTTCGCTCCTACACCATGTCAAAAATGGTCATAACTCCCTTAACTTACCAATGGAAATGTCCCATTGTGGTCGTACACAGAGCATTACGTATCCGTTTAAATTTCCTACTTCCTAAGCCTCTAGAATCGATTTATCGGCGAGACAGGCAGCCTATAAATTTAACAAATAAATACTTTTAATAAAAAAACACTCAAGTTGCTAGTCCACATTGACGCCGGAGAGAAACTTGAGAAACGGGGAAGCAGGAAATGGCCTGATCTGCCCCTCCCATAGTCTAGTCTCACGCTCCCCCTCCGTCTTCTCCCCTGTCGTCCTCCTCGCGGGACTCCGCAAACCCTCGTGCTGTGCTCTTCTTTCTTCCCAGAGGCCTCTCCGCCTTCCGTGGAAGAACTGAGGCAGCAAAAGGCTTTCGTGAAGTTGCTGAAGAAACAGTATCGAGAGCTGAAGGAGCTCCGTCGCAAACACATGAAAAAAATTTGCAGCCTCAACAAAAAGCAAAACACGCAGCTGACATTGGAAAGAAGCCGGCTGCGTAGCCGGGAAGGGTGAGAATAATACCGGATTTATTTTATTTTATTGGGGGGGGGGGCATGTGCTGAACCTGGAAGCCCATAGAAAAAGATTTAGATGTGATTCGCCATGCGGGGAAGAATTACAGCTGGTTTTCTCTGACGAAAGAGAGATTTAGTGTAATTTTCTTTTTTTCCCATGCTGAAAATGAGAAGTAGGACAGCTTCTCCGTGCCAAAAAGGAGATTTAGAGCAGATTCTTCATGCAGAGAAACAGACTTGGAGCCGATTCGCTGGGCAGAAAAGAAGATTTAGAACAATTTCTTTAGGCCAAAATGTAGATTAACAGCAGGTTTTCCATGCCAAAAAAGGAGATTTATCTTTTTCCATGCAGAAAAGGAGATTTCAAAACATATTTTTCCCTTCAGAAAAGGAGATTCTGATTATTTTTTCCACGCAGAAAATGAGATTTAGAGCATATTTTTCCCTGCAGAAAAGGAGGTTTCAAAACATATTTTTCCCTGCAGAAAAGGAGATTCAGGTTATTTTTTCCATGCAGAAAATGAGATTTAGAGCATATTTTTCCACGCAGAAAAGATGTAGACTATTTTTTCCATGCAGAAAAGGAAATTTAGACCATATTTTTTTCATGCAGAAAAGGAGATTTAAGAGCAAATTTTTCCCGTGCACAGAAGGAGATTTAGAGCAGATTTCTTTCCTTTCTTTTTTTGAAGAATTAGTGCAGATTCTCCCTGCAGAAAACAAGAATTAGAGCAAAGTTCCACGCAGACATTTAGAGCAGAACCTTCAGGCAGGATGGGAGAAATTTGAAAATATTGGTTCTATTTGGATATTTCAGACTTTTGCAAAGATTGCCCTTCGCCTGTCACGCAACCCCCATCGTTTTCACGAATGTTAAGATTTGGTGGAACAGTTTGAAAACCTTTGCAACGCAGGGCTTTCTAAAATTCACTCACCGCTGCCTCATTTAGCAACAGAAATGTCGAGCAATTGGACTTTCTTGGTTTTTTTTTTTCTTTTGAAGACATTTTGCTTCTCCTCCAAGAAGCTTCTTCAGTGCTGACCAGATGGTAGGGAATGGAAGGATTTATATTCCTTGCAGGCAGCTGGTCATTTGCATCCTTTTAGAGGGTCGTTGAGGCCGCTTGGAGGCTTATCTGAGTCCTCAGGATCACCTGAGTAGTGCAAATGGTTCCTGCATTTTTCCCCCCACCACCCTCTGGAAATCCATTCCTCCTCCCACAGGGTATCCATCCCAAATTATATAGCTAAACGTCTGTAGAGATTCTCAGTCATCCAGGTCACGGTTATCCCAAAGCAGAGGCGGTATTCAGCCGGTTTGGACCAGTTCAAGAGAACCGGTAGCGGAAATTTTGAGTCGTTTGGAGAACCGGCCAATCCCACCTCTGACCGGCCCCGCCAACCCCATCTATTCTCCGCCTCCCATTGAGTCCCAGCTGATCGGCTGGGTCTTCTTTGGTTGCCCTGCATAGGAGAACAGAGCTGGAAAGCAGGCTAGTGGGGTGGGGAGGGAAGGGGGATTTTGCCGTCAATTTCCCCTGCCACGCCCACCAAGCCACACCCACAGAACCGGTAGTAAAAATTTTTTTAATCCCACCACTGTCAAAGGTGCATTTTTTCAGGAGGCCACTGGACTTCCTTGTTCTGTTTTTTTTTCCTTTTGAATATAAATCCTTCCGTTCCCCTCCATCATCCTGTCAAGAGCTGAAGAAGCTTCTTAGATGAGAATCGAAACGTCTTCCAAAGGGAGGAAAAAAAAAAAAGGAAGTCTAGTGGCCTCCTTAAAAAAAAACACCCCCTTTGGGACAGCCAGGATCTGGATGATGACTTGAGAATCTCTCCAGACTTTTAGCTATACAATTTGGGATCTCCAA